AGGTGGATTGATTCAGTGACTGGGATAATTGGGATGGGAGTGTCAGAGACAGTGCGATTGGCACAGGACAGAGCGGAGTTTAGGGCTGTTGTACATAGGGGTCGCTATGAGTCGCAGGCGACTCGATGGCACATAACAACAACTACAACTATTTTCTGCAGGATTAAGTTTACATTCATTTTGTTGTAACATTTAACCAGTTATTACATTCATTTGGGGAAAGTGATATGATACTGTTTTTCTACTTAATGGGAATCACAAAGGGTTTTTTCCCCCCTAAAAAATATATATGCTCTCAAGTTTAAAAAGTCATTTAAAGAAAAATATTCAACAAAAATGTTTTAACAAATGTTCATACACATGAAAAATCACAAGGATGCTTCTCCTGTGTGTGTCTGAAGTGTGGAAAATATTATCTTGCTACCATTTCCTAATGAAGTGACAAGAAATTTACTTATAATCAGATCACCTTTCGCACATTTCGACTAATTACTCCCAGGAAATTTCATTTACATGACATTACACTCTATTGTATGTAGCGTTCCCCTAGAAATCCCTTAAAAGCAAGCCAATGCCTTTCCCAACCACTTGTCTGTTTTGAGGATAGCATCTACTTGCAAAGTAATTTGTGTTCATCTTGAGCTGGCCTTGCCTTCTTTAAATCATCACCATGGTCTTTCTTTCTCTGCCAAGTTTTTGAGTTAATTATTTCCTGTTTCTCTGAGTCTATTCCTTATCCCCTTTCCCAGGTCACTCCTCTACCTTCACCTGCAAATATACACAGCCACCCTGAAACAAACTGGTCCTTGTCCCTTTGTTTGCCCTAGAGTCTTTGTTTCCAACAAGAGCCTTGACGTTTATTCCATAAATCAGCCATCTCAGAGCAAAAATGTGTCATTACTGTAGAATCAGTTACATTTGGAGTTTGCTTTCTTTGGCAGCATTCCTCCTAACTTACTAACCTTTTGTTCTCTCAACTCCAGCTTGTTGAACTCTAAGGTACTTCATGATCCAATTTGCCCAGGCTGTTTTCTCCTATGCACCCACCCGCATCTCTCCAGGCAGTTCCTCTGAGGACTCCCACCTTGGGTGGGACTTTCCCAGCAAATTTGATCCGGTGTTCATTTAACATTGTTTCCTCTACTGCCCTATCATCAAGGCCAGAGCCAGCTCTCCTTTTGTCTTTGACAAGTCAGAGGCTTTCAAAGCAAGGTGGTTGTGCCCATAGAAGTAACTCCATCCCTGTGGTCTCTGCTCCCCCATCCTCAGGCCAAGAAACCTTCCCGAACTACTTTTGTTGTCTTTGTTTTTCCAAACCATCTCCCTATTCTTGGTTGAGGTTTCATTTAAATGTTCCAATTCAGTTTTGTTGTCTTATCCACCATTCCCCCCATTTCCCTCTACCTTCCTGCTTGCTCACATACACACCTGGGCCCTTTTAGCATCTTTCACCTACTGAATAATTTCCTGGCAATTTCTGACCCATTAATCAACGTTTATTGAAAACCTTGGTACTTTACTGTAGCCAGACAGCTGTAGGTGCCCATATGTGCTGATATGTGGGTGTCTATGTACACAAAGTAGGAGGAGGGGTACACATGAACAATAAACCTTGCAACAGTACCTGGGGAGGGGGAGAGAATAAACCACAGTATCTCTCAGTGTTCTCGTTAGTATGTTGAACGTATTTCACCCCAACCCCCAAATCTGTATTATTTCAAATATGGCTCAAACAAAGAAGAGCCTTGATGCTTATTGAGGATTTAGATAACTACTTCCCTGTTAAGAAGAGATTTTTAAAATTGTGTTTTCATTATGACTCCATCTCCATTTATTGATTAAGGGATTTCTTGCCTCACTTAACTCCATAATCTGTTGCTTAGATTAAGAAAATGTGAAAACTATTGTTTGATATTGTGAGTATAGGCTTTAAAGTGATACTTTGGGGGCTGAATGAGTCAAATACTATAATCCAAGAAAAGCAACGAATTGATCACGCAGAAAGTGTTTTTAAGCGTTACTCTCTATATGGACTGAGCATGCAATGAAATGAAGCAGATTAAATGTTTTGCACATGTGCTTGCTCTGCTATGGAAGCAGGAACGGCCTAGTGCAGAAACAGCTAACAGCACAAAATCAAGATAGGAAATAATACATGTAAAAAGCTTTTAATCAATGCTTAAGTTATTATTCACTGGGCACATTTTTAAACTTATTTTCTTTTTTAGTAGGAACAACATTGATTATAGTAAATTCTCAGTTGACAGGAGCAGAAATGTACTTTTTATTTGGCTTTTCCTACATACACACACACACACACACACACACACACACACACACACATATCATACAGCTAGGTACAGAAACTCTTTCTCTCAAGGAACGCTTTTTGGATGAATGAATGACCTGTATGTTCATGGTTTCCCTCTACCTTACACTTTGCCAGCCTGTTGGCTACTTTACTAGTCATTAATTCTTCCTCCTGAGAGATAATGGGGAAGGGAGAGGAGGTGAACTTCAGGTCAGTAAGGCATGCTTAGCTACAAAAGCACTAAATCTTAGGAAAGGGCAAGGTTCTGTTGTTCATAGGGTCTCTGTGGGTCATAATTGACTCAATGGCACCTATAAACAACTATAAACTTTAGAGGCTGTTAAATTCCTTTAAGTCTTTTAAGAGGTTATTGTTGTTGCATTTTTATTTGAATAAAAGTTTGCAAATCATAATGGATTTTCATTCAACGATTAATACACATTTTGGTTTATAACATTAATTACAAGTGATTAAATAATAGCAGTGCCTGATCAACCACTTATTACATACTGTCTTGCCCTTCACTCATCTATTTATTCATCTTTATTCCCCTCTTCCTGTCTTCCAACCCTGGTAAGCATCCAAGAACAATTCTGTGTGGAAACCTTTCCTTAGTTTTTATAATGGCCTTATACTACAATAATCCTGTGACTGACTCATGTCACTGAGTATAATTTTCTCCACATCCATCCACGTTGTGCAGTATTTCACAAAGTCATCATTCTTTTTTAATTTTAATGAAAGTTTACAGAGACCTTGGGTTTCCATTCATTTATTGTTGCACTTTCCTTTCTTCCCAGCCCTCCCCCCCCAGTTTGCTTTTCTTTTGAAAAAAAAAATTATTTCATTGTCATACAATTCCTCCCCCCCTCCTCCACCCCACTATGCTGCTTTCATTCTGGATTTTGTCATAACAATAATACCTAATCATATATTCCTCCTGTATTCTTTAGTGTTGCATAATGCTCCATTATGTGAATGTACCTTAGTTTCTTTAGCCATTCGACCAATGATGCACACTTGAGTTGTTTCTATCACTTCGCTATTTAAATAACACTTCAGTGAGCAAGCATAAATATTTATCAGTTCATTTGTTGCTATTGTTTCGTGGAGTCGGACCCTCCAGCAGATTTTTCAGAGGCAGTTAGTAGCACAGGTGGAGACTACCCATTCTTCCACAGAGTGGCTTTCAGATTGCAGCACAGCTTCTTATCACTAGGCCACCAGAGTCCCCTTATTCCTTTAGGTAAGTCATTTAAGATTTTGTTCCATCTTGATTGTTAACCTAGCTTGGCAATCAGAGTTTGGACATCCTTCAGATTGTTATTTTGGTTGTAATAGTTATAGTAGTATTTGATCTACCTCTGGAAGCACTTCCAGACAGCTAAACTCGGTTTAAGAGCCAGTCAAGAGGCCAAAGAAAATTTACTGAGTACCTATTACATGTGACCAAACTACGTCGTTTACATTATGTCTTTTATAGTTTACAATAATGAAGAAAAATGGGTTTTATATCCAATTTTATAGACGTGGAAACTGAGGAACTGAAATAATCCGGCCAGTGACTCATCTAATAAGGAAAACTCTGGCTAACAGCCTGTTAAACATTTTATTATTCACTGGACTGTTTGCGGGTGGTTTTCCCTCATCCTTGCTGTTGACACTTCCCACGAGTGACTCCATGGAAGCTGGCTTCAGAGACTTTATGGACAACTCAGCAGCTGAGAAACAAAACCGCTTTTATGGAATAAAAATAGTATTTAAATTTCTCTCCTCTTTCTTTAGGAAAAAAAGGGGGGAGAGGGTAAGACCGACGATGAACATTCGGCAAAAGCCTTCGCATAATGGCTAAATCTTCATTTTGGACCGCGCGGAGTACCGAGGAAAAGGTGACAGCATTAGCGCACTTTGCTCTAAGATGTTTAAAGCGATGTAATGAACAGCTGGGCTATTTCTGAGGAACAACTGTGCAGCACGAGAAGCCCAACTGCTGGTCTTCCCGGGGTAGTTGCATGAGTTGGGTTTGCTTCTGCAGCGCTCGCCCTTCGCCCTCCCCCAGGCGAGTGTCTCCCGCTGCCGCAGTGCCCGGGGCCCCACCGCTCCCCGCCCCCGCGCACAAGCCAAGGCCAACACGGCCGAGCCCGGGAGGCGCGCGCCCCCGCCTTCGCCCGTGCACGTGACGGGCTAAGACGGGCAGTTTTCCTTCACCCCTCCCCCTTCCCCAAACTCCGCCTTCTCCTAGAGAACTGGCCTTCTATTGCGCCACTACTGGAAAGGCCGCTCCGTGAACCAATCACCACACGACACCCTGAATAAGACCCGCCCCCCCAGTCCTCAGGTTCCTTCCCGCTCACATAGGAGTCACTTCCGAAGAGAGCAAACCGCCATGAAGAGAGCAGGGGGTGCCGCCCACCTCTGCTCCGACAGCATCCCCGAGTCCCAGCAGCAAGACGGCAACCACGCACCCAACCTCGCCTGCCGCAGCCCATGCCGCCGTCGCCAGCGGCGCCGACATGACAAGGCGCTGCATGCCCACTAGGCCAGGTTTCCCCTCATCCCCAGCCCCGGGGTCATCGCCCCCGCGCTGCCATCTGAGACCCGGTAGTTCCGTCCCTGCTGCAACGGGAAAAAGAACAGAGAGCCCTGGGGACAGGTACCGTGCAGAGGGCTTGAGAAGGGGCTGGGTCGCGGGGGCAAGGGTATGAGGGAGGACTGCGGACGGCCGCGTTCCCAGTTCCCGCCATCCTCCGCGAGCTCGGCCTGGCGAACCTCCGTCCCGCCCCCGCGCAGGGGCTTCTGGGAGTACGAGTATCCTTTTCTGTAGTTGGGAAGCTGTTCTTGGTCCTGGACCCGCACCTGGCTGGCTACGGAGAATCCGCTGTAGGTAGAAATTGATGTTTGTGCTTTACGACAGCTTGACCCGGGGCCCTGACTGCTTAATGCATATCTCAGGTCATTTTCTCTACATTGTCAGTTTTATTGAGCCTAGTGGTTTAATAGTAGAAACCTTTTCTGTATGGTGAGTGAAATGATGATAAATGTGATGGAGGGATACCTTTGCGATTTAGAGTCCAGTATACAAGATAATCCCACTTAAAAGAATATACGGGTTTGGAATATGATATGATTTATCTTTCAGTAGCTTCCTCCTTCTTCAGAGGCTAGGTTTGATTTCCCCCCTCCCAAGATTTCGTGGATTAAGTTTATGAGAGCTGTGTAATGAATTGGGGAATTTTATCAAATGACATCGTCTGAAAATAAAACATTTTTCTATTCCATATGCACTTGGTTGTCTTTTTTATTTAAGTTTTAAAACTTGTGAGAAGTTTAACAGTAATTCGTATTTACTAATAAAATGTAGTACAGGTTCACAAGCCCTTTGAAAGCTAGGAAATGTTGTGCAAGTTTGGCAGTAGAGCTCATTTGGCTACTTAACCTGAGCCGGATTAATGTCAAGCTATTTAAAGTCTTTTCCCCATTACACAGAAATCCCGATGGAGTAGTGAAAGTAGCTGGTGGACAGTTCGAACCTACCAACCACATCAGGAAAGCACGCTTCCATGATTTACAGTCTTGCAAACTCGATGGGACAGTTCCATCTTGCCCATTAGAGTTACTGGAAGCCATATCTAACTTGACTTTAGTCAGCTTGGTTTTTTGTTGTAGTCCGTTAAGTGTGGATATTACATTTATCTGGAGATCTGTGAACATGCAGCTCCACAACCCCACGTAGATGTACTTGGATACATCTTTCAAAAATACAGCTTTTCTAAAAGAAATCTCCCAAATTCTGAATTCTAAAACGCATGTGGTCTCAGAAGTTTCAGATAAAGGTTTGTGGAGCTGCTACACATAATTGGTTATTTTTTTAATAAGAAGAAGAAAGAACATAGTGGACATTTCTGTGCACATTAACTTACATAACTATCTCTTTCAGAAAGTTACATTCCTGAGTGTTATGAATTTCTTGTTTTACCCTAACCCCAAGCCATTTTTCTCTTGTATGTACTGAAAGGCGCCTGAAATTGAATAATTAAAGAATGATATATACTCTCATATTTAGTATAAAAACATACTGCTTTGAGTAACTCCATTTTTACTCTCACATCTTTCCCTAGCTGAAGGCCTCATTCTCCCCTCTGCAGTACCTCTAGCACCTCTCTTTTACTTTTGCATTTAAACTGCCTGATAAGATCTATGTAAATAAATGCTCAGATACTTCTTGCATGTCCTTTTTTTTTTTAACCACTTTTCTACCAACCTCGGAAACGAAAAAAAAACCCCTAAAAATAAAGATATGTTGTATTCTGATGTACCCACTAAAGTGTACAACATAAATGAAAAACTTAACTTTCAAGGGTCTTGGATTGTATTGTTTTCTCTGAGCATTCTGGCCTCATAGTAAATAAGTATGGAGTGAAATTTGACTTAACAGCTTATCTTCTTTGAGTACAATTAATAGTTTTCTTAAAAAAAAAAGATTGCCAGAACCAGATGCTCTGCTGGAGAAGGAGGGGGCAGTCTCCTCCTGTACCAGTCAGATCTGATTTGATGATACACATAAAAATAATACAATAAAAATTAAAAAAAAAAGATTGCCAGAGAGTTAGTTTTCTTTCCTCTGCTAATAACATCTCTTGTTATGCAGCTGAGAAAGAATTCTTGAATATATGAAAGATCAGAATATACATTTGTTAATACAATTCTGTCTCACTTTGTGTCCAAATACCATTCTACTTGTTTAGAGGGCCTCTTCAGGTATTACTCAGTTTTTATAATCTCCATTGTTCATTTAGCAGACATCTGTTGAAAAGTATGTGTACTGAGCAGTGGAGCTACCAGGTAATAGATCCTTATCCCAACCGTCATCTTCTGCTTTCTTAGGGAGCACTTCTCTACCAGTTCCTTAGATCCAAGAGACAATTTTAGCACTGTAGAATGTGTAAACCTCAGTTGTGTTTATATAAATTAACTTCTGCAGGAAGTAAATTTTCAGGTTTTTTATAATCAACCAAGCAAAGCCTTACTGTTAAAAATTTTAATATTTAACCAGATAAAGAAATCTAGCATATTCTGTAAATCTGATTAGCATTTGCTCTTTAAATTACTGAGGTTTTAATATTTGCTTATGTGATGTCATATTAGTTATGCTTTTGTTTTCAGGAATCAGTCAATTACAGATTTCTTCAAACCAGCTTCAAAACAAGGTAAATGTACTGCTACAGTATTTTTTGATGGGTCTTTTTTAGGGGAGGGAAATGCATTAAATTTTTTTAGGTTAATTTGATTCAATCTAGAATTAAAAATAAGACAGTGGTTTGGGGTTTTTTTTGTTGGTTTTTTTTTTAAATAAAGATAAACTTGTTCTCGCTTCAGCAGCACATATAATAAAATTGGAACAATACAGAGAAGATTAGCATGGCCCCTGCGCAAAGATGACATGCAAATTTGTGAAGCGTACCATTTTTTTAAAGATAAACTAAACATGAAAGTCTTTGCTATTACGCTTTCTTACATTTAAAGTTCTATTCCAGTTCGAATCCACCAGATGGCCCGCTGGAGAAGGAGGAGCAATCCCTCCTGTGCCATTTGGATCTGATTCAACAGCACACTACAAGTTAAAAAAAAAGTACTATTCTAGTTAATAATGAATTTATCTTAGTCTCTGCTGTTTTCTTAGTAATTTATATCATAAATAAAGCCATAAGAGGGCTACATGATTTTGCAAAAAGGTATTTTGTAAAAGAGCTTTTAAAAGAAAAATTGTCACAGGTTCTATTAAATTAATTTCTATATCATCATCCAAATAAAATCTATGAGAATATTTTTGTGGTAACTTTTGTGTAATTTAACATGTTAGTGTTTATAATAATGTTTTCTAATTGCCTATTCAGACAGCCATATGTTGGATTCACCACAAAAATCAAGCATCAAATATGGAGAAAGTGGATTGCCCTTTAGCAAGAAAGAACAATTTGAAAGAAAACCATCCTCACCAAAAACATTGAAATCCAACACAGTACCAACAGAAAAGAACCCTAGTTTAGAGTCATTCATGAAGGGTGTTAAAGAGCATCATAAAAATCATGGTGTACACGAATCACGTCGACCTTGTGTGTCACTAGGCACCAAATTGTCAAAGGGGGTTGCAAAAGTTTATGTTCCTCCTTCATATGGCTTATCAAAAGAGATGAAACAACGGAAGAAAAAACAGCAGCAGTCTCCAGACAGAAGAAAGTCCATGTACATTCATGAAAACAGCAGGAAGGAGCATGATAGAGATGGAGACAAAACCATTCCAGACTCCAAAAAGCAACACACAGTGGCAGAAGCTGACATCATGAAGAACTCCAGAAGCCTTAGCAGGAGCAGTCTCTCCAGACACCACTCAGGAGAAAGCCCTCTTGGAGCAAAGTTTCAGTCATCTTTAGCATCTTACTGCAGAGAAAGAGAAAAAAGGAAGCTGAGGAAGGAGCAAATAAAGCAGAGACTCAACTCAGAAAATTCCTTCTCAGAAACAAGCGACCTTTCCTTAAATTCAGCTAATATAGGAAGACAATTTAAACCAAGCCATGAACAAAGCAAACAGAACAATATCATACCTGGGAAAAGTAATCTTTCTAATCTGGTATGTGCAATAGTTATTAAATTAACTTTGCCTACTGCAGTATATTTGAATCCTGTTAATGCAATGGTGTTAAACTCCAGCTTGCTAACTGAAATGTTGGCAGTTCAAACCCACTAGCTACTCCAAAAGAGAAAGATGGGACTGACTGCTTCTGTAAATACTCATTGCCATCTAAGTAGAACCGACTCATAGCTGAAAATTGCATAGGAGGAGGGTTCCTTTTTTTCTTTCTCTCTTGGAGCCAGAGGTGGATAAAAACTGCCGAAGAGGTGTAGCCTTTGGGTTAGCAGTGCAGTTCCCTATGGACTACACCACGAGAGGTCCCTTTCATAAAGATAACAGCTTTAGAAACCAAATGGCACAATTCTGCCCTGTTCTGTAGAGTTATTAGGAGTTGAAATTGACTTGAAAGTAATGGATTGAGTTTTTGGTTTATATCATATTTAGAGTGTTAAATCTAAATATATTGTTAAATTGCATTGCTGTCTGTCTTTAAAAAGAATGTTAATACAAGTGTGTATGGAAGCTGATTTCATTAGATTGTCTCTAACTGCCCCTTATTTGAATTCTGTAAAGTTGTTTACTTAAATTTTTAGAAAAGGATCAAAGATTTTTAAAAAAAAAAAGTATAGGCATTTTAAAACTGAGTTCTACTGAAGGGGAATACTTGAAGAATAGAAAATCCTTAAAACAACAGGAAATTACTTAAAGCAGTACTCAAAATGTGCATCCTTAGATCAGCAGCAACAATTGGAAACTTGGTATAAATAAAAATTCTCAGGCCCTACTCCCAACTCTTCTAAACTGAAAACTAGGGTGGGAATGGAGTAGGGAGTTGAGACACAGCAGCAATCACACCAACAAATCTTCCAGATGATTCTGATACACTCTAAAGTTAGAGAGCCACCTTTTTAAAGTATTCTTTTTTTCCGTTTTAGAGTATTCTTAAGAAAGTGACTATAGGTCATAAAAAACAGAAAATCATTTAAAAATGCTCCAAATACTAACTCTTCCAGATTTCTCTTTTCAAATTGGTATAAAAATTTTCCCCAAGAAAAGTCATTAAGTACATCCATTTCAAAGAGGTGCCCTGCGTAAAGGGCCATATTAAGGTCAGGTGTCAAGTTAGGGTTCCATTGATAAGTCACAAAGGCCAAAAATTAACTATGCAATTCTAGGAGTAAATAGAGATTATTGTATATTGCTGGTAAATATATTTGCTAGTCCATGAACTTTGGTGAATTTACCTGTGAAATATATTTGGTAAATAGTAGGTTTGGTAATTCTGAATTTATTTCAGTCATGTTTTAATGTATTGGATTATTAATATAAATTAATACATTTCTAAACTAATATTGTGAAACCTGACTTTGGTTTGGCTTCATTCTTATATTTTATTTATTTTAAAAAATACTTAACATTTTTAGGGGAGCTTTGGTGGCCTACTGGCAAGGAGGTGCAACTACAATCCCAGAGGTACACGGTTCGAATCCACCAGATGCTCTGCCGGGGAAGGAGGGGCAATCTCCTCCTGTACCCGTCAGATCTGATTTGACAGTGCACGCACACAAAAATTAAAAAAAAAATTTACTAAAAAAAAAAACAACTTATTTTTATAATGATAAGGTCTTTAAATATTTTATTATAGAATCTGCACTTCATCTTCAAATCTAAAAAGCTTGCTTTATTTATTTAATGTAGCAATCCATGGCTAAATATTATGAAAATAAGCTCACATTATTTACTACCCCATCTCCTAATACATGTTTTTCTCATCTTGTTAATAGGAAAATGGGCATCTCTCAAGAAAAAGATCCTCTTCTGAGTCATGGGAGCCTACTTCAGGTAGAATCAACTAAGTTCAGGAATTTTTAAATAAATATACTTTATAATGACACTTTTTGAAAAGCAGGTTTGTTTAGATACGTATTTTTTTCCTTAGAGATAAGTGTCTTGAGTTAGTTAAAAATACTGGTAAAATTACATTTAAAAAGAACATACGTAATTTGAAAGTGTTGAGGGTCAACACAGGAGAGGAAGACCCTAGATGATGTGGATTGACACAGTAGTTGCCCTTGGGATCAAGGTTCAGAGCCTTTGTTCATATGATAGTCAATACAGTGGCATATAACAGTAACCTGTAGTTTATCTTCTATAGTCACCCTTTTCTTCTATGCTAATTTTAAGTGTATTTTTTTATTGTGTATTTGTTGCTTGAGAAACATCATTTATTCTTGAAATTATTGCTTAATATCTGAGGTATATTTTAGATAAGGTTGAAACTTGATGATGACATGGAATAATGTTTTCTCTAATACTCTCAAAAAGATCCTTTTTTTTAATACTGTTTCAAGGACTTCTGCTTGAAACTTCAGTTTTAATAGGTGATAAATATGGAACAATAGCTACAAATAACTCAATAATTCTTAAAGCATCTTTATCTTTTTTTTGTTAGAAAAGAGATCATTACAAAATTCAAACACTGAAAAATTCAAACACAAAAAATTTTTAGGGCAAAAGGTGAATGCCTTCAGAAATAACAACTTTGAGAAGTGCACGGTTCAAATCCACCAGATGCTCTGCTGGAGAAGGAGGAACAATCTCCTCCTGTACCAGTCAGATCTGATTTGACAGAAAAAATAATGAAATAAAATAATTTTTTAAAAGAAATAACAACTTTGAAAACAGACTTTATAAATTTTGCCATTAAGCAAAATAACATTAAACATAATGATAGTAATAGCTAACTTTTTTTGAGCACTTATCCCTTTTCTTGAGCCTTTTTAGGCATTTAATTTTATCCTCACAACCTTAACCTTTTTAAAAATTTTTCATTTCTATTGTTTGGCTTACAAAGTTCATATATATTGTGTTTCACACTATTCTTCAAAGTAGCTGCTTTTACAGATGGAAAAACAAGAGGCAAAATTCTGACTCATTCTTTAGGTTGTACATAATACTCCATCTCCTGGTATATTCCAAGGGGTATTGCATTTTGACCAAGTGTCTGGAATGTTAAAATCATTCTTCACCATAGCTAAAACCATATTTTACTATCATGGAAGGAACTTCTAGAATACAGAAATAAACCTGAAGTTGTATATGTTTAAATAAACAGTAGTACAGTATTTAAAGCATTGCTGATTTTTTTATTTTTAAATTTTATTTTATTATTTTGTGTGTGTGTGTGTGTGTGTGTGTGTACTGTCAAATTAGATCTGACTGGTACAGGAGGAGATTGTCCCTCCTTCCCCAGCAGAGCATCTGGTGGGTTTGAACTGCCCGCCTCTGGGATTGCAGTGCAGCTTCTTGCCACTAGGCCACCAGAACTCCCTTGATGGTGTTTTTCTAGCATGAAACTTTTCTTTTCCATATTTTATTGTTTTTTAGGTGAAAGCTTACATTGTGAATTATGTTCCGATTTTACTTTTCTATACAAATTTTTCACAACAAAATGACTGTGAGATAACATCTTACCCTGTTAAGAATAGCAAAATTCAACAGAGCAGCAAACTACAAATGCTGGCAGGTATTTACATGGCTAGAGTCCAGAATAAGAGCTGCTGGGGGGGATTGTGTAACAATGAAAGAACATTTTTTTTCTTCTCAAAGAGAAAAGCAAACTTGGGTGGATGAGTGGGCAGGGAGGAAAATGTGCAACAATGAATGAATGGAAATCCAGGTTCTCTATAATATTTTAT